GTTCATTGTGGTAAACGAAATAATAATTTGATCTTAGTAAGAATTTTTTTTCTTCCCAATTTGTAAAAAATCCTTACGTGCTTGAAAAAAATGAATATTATTTTCGAAATAAGCGCAGCCGAATTATGGAAAATCTGTTATTAAAACCAAAACAACTGTTATGAAGTTTAAATTTGCATGCCTGTGTTATCTAAAAAAAAGCTTAGTTTCACATAATGATTGACCTTTTCTTTATAAGTATATATATATATATATATCAATAAAAGGAATAACAATATAAATAAATAGTAGCATTGGTGAGTACCATTTGCAAGTATTGAGTATTTGTGTTAACATGAGTTTTATTTTTCCAAAAAGTTTTAAGTTTTTAAAGTGTGCAGTAATTAGGATGTTATGTATACAGGCTTTTTCTGCTACTATAAAGAGTAAAAGATAAGATTCTCCAGTAACTTATAATGTTCAGCATTAGAAAATAGTTTGAGTTATTAACAAATGTATGAAAAATTGATCATTCTGATTAGAAACCGTTTAAATGAGCAAAAATTACCACATTTTTGCTGTTACACTTTATTTATGCCAAACCAATATTGACTTAATATTTAGTGTTCTGTGTTCTTCAAACAACTGATCATTTGTAAAATAATTTGCTCAAAAAGTTCCCTATGTTTATAAATGGACCAGTTGTATCGTTAGACAAATAGTTGTATTAGTCAATATCTCATACGTTTTATATATTTAAACAAATTATGCCCAGACATTTGTCTTTATTAAATGTTTTATTACTAAAATACTTAGTGCTGTCTCTGCTGTTGTGGTTATATCATTACCAGAATATCCATTCATCTGCCTGACCCTGTTTAGAAACACTTCCATTTTGTTCACATCCAAATGAGTTAAGAGACTGTGAAGCCCATTAAACCTTTAAAGTTGAATATTATTCTTTTATCTAAAAGATTATTTAATTAATTATTATAACCATGTTTAGAAGGTAATTTCATCACACACTCGTGTGTATAGATATATATATATATATTTGCAAATATATGTGTGTATCATCTTTCTGTAATAAAACTTAATTCACAGTTTATATGATAAGCTGAATGATGATTATTATCATGTAATTAAAGCACAAATTTAACTTGTATGTTACATGTGTTTTCATATTTTTTCTCATGTTGCTTTTTCTTATCAGATATTGATTTGTACAAGGTATTTATGTCATCCGCCACACCTGAAATAGTGAATGAACTGAAACAAAAATTCAATAACGGTATGACATTATTTTGCTTTGTTTAATAATTAATTGTTGTAATAAATTTATATATTTAGATGTGTAGTCAGAAATTTGTATGAGCTAATTACAGTAAAGTAAAATCATCCATTGAACATACATTAACTTTTGTTCAGGTTAAAATAGATTGCATTTCTATAAAGAAGTGTGAATAAACTTGAATACTGAATATCTTGTTTCTGACTAGTTGTAGAATAGAAACTTTTAGATATTATTAAACCTGTGACTAATGAAGAAAATTATTTATCCAGTGTTATTCAGCTACTAGTAATAAAAAGGTAAATCTGTAAATCATTATATTCTCACACTGCATTTTATTTGTTAAGTACAATGTAGAGTTTTAACTTTTGTTATTCTAGATGTGAATAGTGTAGATCTTCAGAATTATGAGCTAAACTGCATTGCTGGTGCCTTAAGAAAATATCTACGTGAGTTGCCAAATCCTGTAATACCTGTAGAAGGTTATGAAATGTTTTTGGAGGCTTCCAGTAAGTCTGCTAATATTTTCATGTTTGTTGTGCATGACTATATTTATTGTTATATAAGTCCATAGATTTGCTTTTCCATGGCCTTTAAAACCTTAAGAATAATTAATGTCATATTTTGATGATATAACTTGAATAATCAGAATTGTTAAGTGTTTTTTCGTATGTATTGAGCTTTATAAGCATTTTATATAACATTAAATGTTGCTAAGTGTTATATTCCATTAAATGAGTGAAACTGAGTAAGTTTTAATTTATCTAAACTTTTGTGGAAAACAATATTTAAAGAGCCAAGTATATTATTAATAGCTGTGAAGTACACATGTAAAAAAACTTTAAAAGGTCATTATCATCCAACATTAGGATGCAATTGAATGCTATCTTAAACAATTTCTGATGGTTAAAAAAAATACTAGGTAATATAAATAGGGTTGGAGTGCATTATAATAAAATGATTTTGAATATGCAAATCAGCAGGTCTTATGACAGTCACAGCCCATATAAAGTCATGGTGGAATAGCATTTATCAGAACTACATTTTGATATTGTTTAGCATTTTGTGAGCAGTGTGATGCCACCAAAAATTGATTGCTTTTGGGAATGATATCTAAAAGCCTTTTCCAGTGCAAAATATTCATACATTCAGATCTTAAAGATGTGTTGAGATAAAGGATTTATAATTTCTAAGCTTGGGATATCCCTTGTTCTTAATGGCATGGGAAAACAAAAGAATATAAATCAACTTGGGGCATCAGGATCATCCAGAAAGAGAACTGCAACAAGTCTTACCCTAGCTGTACTAAGAAAAATGTGGCTTCTTGTAATAGGTGTAAATCTGCAAACACAAAGATCAGTGGCGAAAGCTATACACATGTCCCAGACAACAGTACAAAACATAATCAAGATTGATCTCTATCTGGAAAAGTAATATAAGTCAACTGTACTCAAGTTTCTTCACATAATATTCAGGAAAGGACAAACAACATGTTTAAAACTATGATTGGTGCTTAGCCAGGGAAAAATGGCACTATTTTCTGATGCTTGATGTGTATCTTGATAACGTTAACACGTCTGGTGCCATTTTTTGTCAGTGGGTAATAAAATGGTATATACATGCCACTAAACTTTATGAAAGGATTCATGGTCATTACTGAATATTGTGCTAGGAGCAAGTTAGGGTTCAGGGGGGTAAATATAAATGTCAAGGTGAACTCTGCTTTACTATCAAACCAACTTTCTGGCTTCTTTTTTTTTTAACAGAAATTTTGCCCTTGTATGGAAACAAGGACAATAAAGTATGGGCTTACTAAGATGAGACTTTCAGTCATATCTCCCATTCAACTGTTGCATATCTTAAGCAGCTGGAGAATGAAATAGGTGTTCGTGCTATTTGCTATGAAGAGTGTAAATTTCTGTGTGATCAGACTTTTAAAATGGGTGCTGGGAAACTGTTGTCTTTGTTCATTAAATGATTTATGAAAAGCATTTAGGGAAGAGTGGTGTGCTTTGGACTTGGCAGTTTTAGGAAGGAGCCTTTTTCAATAAAAACTGTACTGCAGGGCTATTATCAAGATGAACAGTGAACATATAGAGCAGGAGTGGGCAAAATACGTCCCACTGACCGAATCCGACTTGTCTAACATTTCTGTTCTGCCAGCTATTGTGGAGTGGCCCTCCAGGCTGTAATGATGTGGCAAGATCATTTTAATATAAAGTACCAAACCCTGTATATTACTATCATGAATTATATCAAGTTTTTGATGACATATCCACACACACACACTCATATGTATATAAATATTATTTACTTGAATTTATATTGATAATCACTATATATACTCATAATCTTACACTTGTGAAATTTTTGTTTTAAAAAACAGTTTGATATATACAGAACTATTACTTTGATGTCCTCTGATATCCAGTAAAATACAGACATGTAAAGTATAACTATAAAGTTAGTCAAGTCTGTCTTTTCAATTATTAAAATATTCAAATTTTAAAATGAGTGAATTTTTTCTTCAATTTTTATTATTTGATAGATATTTTGCTTCTTCAGCAATGTTGGATTTGCACTGCAATATTTCCACTAGATGAATTAGCAAGAGTTATGTTGTATTAAAACTAAATCATAATTGATCCAATCTCCTGAGGTTTTCTGAAGCTAAAACCCCTGTTGATGAGACCTTATAAGTCTTGGAGATCACCTTTTTTACCAGAAATTGTAAGCCCACCCATTTATTGGTTTATTATCATGTGGATATAAAAATGATCTTGAAGGGATTCCCAAACACTAGTTACCATAGGCTTAATGTCTATACATGTTTACAGAATATGCTCAAAATCATAGTATTACTGAATATGTTTAGTCCAGGTGTTTAGCTCATTGCCAATGTCTAAAAAAAAATCTGCAATGAAACAACAAAAGTAATGTTAATTTCCTCTGTTACTATAGCAACCAACCTTGTATGACCATTAACAGGTCATAACAGTATCATCTCTTTCACCCCATTGGCCTAAAAAAATGTAGAAATGTTTTTGTTTTTAGATAATTATTTGTGTTATATGATCTTTCCTTTGAATTTTATGCAATATTACTGCATGTTGTAATTTACTTTGAAATCTGGTTAGTAGCATAGTGAAACTCCTTATAATTTTCACATGAGTTGATTATGCTTCTACATCTTAAAATAATATAAATGTAGTATTTCAACACATCATTAATTGAACATCTAATGAAACATCTAGTATTTTAACTAAAATGTTTTGAGTTCAAAACCTCATTTCAATGGGATAAGTAAGTTGACCTAAGACTAATTTTATAGCATTTGCTCAGTATTTTCTTACCAAGTTTTTGTTTTACTAGATGTTATGGCTAGACCCCCAGTGGATAAAGCATGGAAGAAGTTAATTATTAAAGTGGTGTGTGTACTCTGAAACCTCTTGCTTTATATAAACTCTTAATTAAAAATCACCTATATGTGGAGTAAATAGTCATTTTGCGTGATTGAAAAACACTTGATATTGTGTTGTCACTGGTTCCTTATTCTTTTTTTCTTTCAGAAATTAAAGATGATAACCAATGTGCTTTTTATCTTGGCCAGTTAGTTCAACAGCTTCCTGTTCACCACAAATGTACTTTGCAGACTTTGATGTCCTACTTTTGCCGATTCTGTCAGTTACAACATATGCGAGGAATAAAAGATTCACCTACTGTTTTGATTAAAATGATGTGTCACATTTTACTTCGTCCACCGTGGGAAAATATTATGTAAGTTTTTCCTATTAGGTACATGATGACCTAAATAAAATTGATAATTGCAATTGGGTCCATGTGTGCGTCTGTCTATGTTTCTGTTTGCGTGTCTTGAAAACTAATAGACTGATGTACACGAAAATTTTACACAGGATGGGAGGTCAATGTGGGACATTCCTAATCCATATTCTGGATGACTTTGAAGCATTTTTTTTTTAATGGGGAGATAGGACATTTTCAGGGTTTTGGATTAATAACTCCATAAAGTGTGATCATATTTGTACCAAATTTTATGTGCACAGTAAGAGTGAGACTTCTCATCACACTACAAAAAGTAATCCAGATCATTAATCATTCTAGATCTGAGAAGGATTTTCCAAGTTTTCAAAGGTGAAATGATGTTATCCAACGCATGCAATCTCAAAAAGACGTGGTGTGGCGAGGGTATACAATCTCTCTGATTGCTCTTGTTTCTTATGTAAACTGAAGGTTTCTAATAGTTGGTGTTTGTCCATCACTAAATGTTTCTACTCTTGCACCTTTGTATCTCTTCCAGTGTTTGCAGTTCTTCATTAATGTGACATTCCTTTAATAGTGACTTACTTGTGTATGTTCTTGTTTTGTTATTGTTTTACCTTATTGTTTCGTTAAATAAAATATTTATTGGACCAATGCTTTGATGTGAAGAAATTCTGCACACACATGTAAGGGAAGGGTCAAATTTGGTAATTGCACAGGAAAACTTTAGAATGACATTTATTTTCAGAGACATCACCTTTAAACATCCTCAATTTTTCCAAAATTCATATAATAAAAAAGACTTAAAGTGAAATTTTGTTGCCCTTGATTTAAACTTACATGAAAATTTTATTATCCACTACAAAATATAATGAAACAGTGAAAGACATTTATTACTATTTAGAAAAATAAAATCATAAATACATTTTATTCTAAATATCAGGCCTAAACACCCTCAATCTCCCAAGTGTCATTTTGACTTTTTTGGCACCTTTTAAAATTTTTCTCTTTTCCTTTATTGATACAGATTTCAATTTAGACTATAACACTATGAGAAAATATGCTTATATGTGTTTTGTGGAGTTTCAAAAATTGTATTTTTTCTGTCGAAATGATCTAATAAAGCCATTTGTTTTTATATTTCAGACAAATAGTTCACAACACAGAATCACATAACCGTATTATTGAAGTTCTGTTACTTAAAGGTGATTGGGGTGAGGAGATACCCATTTTTGATTCAGCACCAGGTAATTTATTCTTGTTTCTCTCACATGTGACTATCATAAAATGTTAATGGATTTTATTTATTATTATTATTTTTTTGCTGTTTTATATAGCTAATCTTGAAAACGTGATCTGCTATTATGTTATCATTTGTACAAACAGTCTTTAGAGAATGTGTGCGTATATATTATTATTAAAATTATTAAGTGACCTTTTTTATGTAGTCAAACTCTAAGGTAATACACTCTTCAATATTCACATGACTTTGCAGCTGGTTTGGTAAGACTTTAAGATGGCACATTCTGCCAATTCATGTAACTTTTTAGCCAACAGCTTGGAACTGTGAGACTTAAAGTATCATATTCTTGTTTTTGTATGAGACTTTAAAAGTAACACCCTTGTTAGTGCTTTTGCTACATGTGAAAAATCACTTTAACACAGCAATGCTTAACATATTGTTTGGAAACTGCAAGTTTTCTTGTTCTTTATTTTCTTCCTAGAAATACAAAACTTTTTCTTGTGAGAGGAAATAAAAGCTATGATCAAGGCTTACCTTACTCATAACTCAGTAACCTGAAGCCTTAATGTTTTCACAAAACAATTAAGAAAATTTTTATCCATTTCAGAAGGTGTATTAGGCCTAATTTTTGAGATAATAATGAACTGACTGTAGTAAAAGCTCGTATTGGATTCTTGCACACTAGGAGATTTTCTAGTAGCTTTTTAATGAGATTTTTCTAAACAGCAAGCTTACTTTAATCCAAGTTTGTAACATGAAAATAACTAGACTACTGAATTCATAATGGGGTTTTGATATTGTAATACAAATAAATTTATATGTTATATTAAAGTGAAGTTCAATATATGTGTGCTGAAATTGCTATTTAGAAATGACATGAATAGTTTGTTGGTGTTATGATTATACATGTAAACTTATTGTTCAGACAGAGTGTTTATAAACCTAGAAAAGTCAATGAAACAGAAAAGTGGCCCAAAGATCAGAGAAAATTGTATAAATATCTGTAAAAGTTAGTTTTTGTTTCTTTTTTTTTCACATCAAGTTGTTCAAGTATGAACCAAAATTACCGCAGTGCCATATACTATATTTTAATGTAGCTTGGGTCAGTCACTCTATATTAGTTGTCTTCCTGATAGTTATGTTTGATAACTGAAATCTTTTATAAAAAAGAAAAATGCGTCTTGTTATTTTCTGTTGTAAAATTAGTCCTCTTTAATGTACTTGATCAAAATGAATTAATGCAAATTTTGGACAACTGCATAAACCTTATTGTAACAATAGTCCAGGGGACAAAATATCTGGGTTCACATCACAATTTGCAAATCAAAACAACTTTGGTTGCAAATTACTTTTCTCTTTGCTTAGCATAACATACAAATCATTCCTTTCTCTTTTATATTGTCTTCAAGACCTCCAACAACACAGTGAAAATGCCATAATGTTAACTTCCTGTATGTATATGTGTGTAACCTGTAAAAAAAAGTACCTTTATACTAAATCCCATGTAAGTTGTCTGAAATACAGTGGAATAATTGTCAAAAAACCCTAATATTATGTTTTTTGTGAACTCTGCACCCCCCCCCCCCAAAAAAAAAAAGACTCGTAATGTATATCAATGTGTTGGGCACATTAATAATTATATTTGTGCCAATTTCATCTTGATTTCTGTAAATGAGTTCAAAATATACATTTTTGGTTGTTTGACCTTTGACTCCATAAAATTCTTAAAAAAGTACTAAATCACAAAAATGAAAAAGTTTCTGGGCACATTTAACCAAGGTATAACCTTGCCAAGTTTCAGGTCAATCTGCCAAGGAACGAAGGAATGGCAGTTGATTAAAAAAGTATTTAGAAGAAGAACAATCAATAGAAAAACAATATTTCTCTCTGCAAAAACATCAAAATAGGATAAATAAATAATTAATCCCACTAATTACTGTTGAGAGTGCAATTCCATCCAATTTATTTTCATCAGTTCTCTACTCTGAGTGTTGCAATAGGAAAAGAAATTTAAATCTTGCAATATGATGTAATATGTAGAAGTCACTGGTAATAAACAGCATAAAAACAAGTCTAGGCAATTCATTTACATAGGGCTTCTTTTTTTTTTATAGTTATTTTTTTAATTATATTTATCTTTAGCTGTTTTGTGTAGATACCTTAAAATCAGTGTTTTTAAGAGTTTTCAGTTTTAATACCGTAGTGATTAAACTAATACACTGTATATTCTTTGCACACTAATTTCTCTGATGGGAGTAATAACAAAACATAGTTCTATTTATGCTAAAGTTGTAAGAGCAGCTAATATTTTATATGAAATTATAAAAACAAACTTACCAGTGACTTGGGAAGATGGCAACGTTAATGTAAAGTCAGTTGAATAACCATTTCCATTGTTTTTCCAGTATTTATTGGTTAAAGCTGAAAATCAGGAGTGCACTACATACACATAATAAATTATGCCTCGAAGGTAAAAGTACAGTTGTATTTTTCAAGAATATTATAAATATTGCTTTATTTTCTGATTTAATGTTATAGTCTAAATTTTATTAAATGTTTCTTTACGGAAAGAGCAGTGTAGTTCTTATTGCAATGATGTTGGAATTCATTTTCTAATATTAATTTAAAAACTTGAAAAGCCTTTTTTTGTGTATTTTTCTTTGACCACAACAACCTAATTTAAAAATGGTCTGTTTGTTTTTACTTACAATACAAAACTAATGAAGTTTGAATTATTTTTGAGTTATGTAACAAATATATTTTGTGAATTAAACTGTAGCAGACAGTTATATTATTAGTATTAAATAATTTTAAATGTTTGTCCTTTAGTTGAAGATAAAATTTGATTCCTTCCAGCTTTACCACCTTGTTGCTCATCCCTTATCTCCAGTCAGTCATTATTAGAGGAACTTACAGAAAGTAACTTTAGCTCTAGGAGATTTTTAGGATTTTCTGATTCACCTGTCAGATCCACTGAAGCACCCCTTCCACTAGAGGAAGCAGAATGGTATTGGGGAGACATTACAAGGTCAGAAAGAATTTTGCTGTATTGATTTATTCAACTACCCAGCAATTAAGGAATAGTCTTATTCAGTTTTCAAGTAATTGTTAAGAGTAAGTGCCACAAGAGAATATATACTTATTTTATTATCAACAAAAGTAATATTTTAAGAAATGGGCAATATAAATAACATCATATTGCTGAACCAGTTATATGGCTAATGGATCAGTCAGAGTACATTTTATTCAGTGCTTGGTTAGTTTGTTGAGATTGCCATGAGCTAGAATCTTGTAATTCTTATTTTTTTTCTCTCAGAAACTACTTGGCATAATAGTCAGTAAAATGTAGTTTAGGCAATAGTTAAACACATAAGGACACCATGTACAGAAAAAGTATTTTTTTGTCATGTAAACTTATAATTTTGTTGCTCAGTTTACAGGATACATAAACTAAAAAATAATTTGATCATATTCTCATGGAAGTATACACAAAATTATTTTGTATGTGTGTGTACACATAGATATGTCATACACAAAATATAACAGACTTGTTGAAAGTTTGTCTACCATTTTACTTCATGCATTGAATCTTGTGTTTCCTTTCAGAGAGGAAGTGAAGAAGAAACTGAAAGATACTGCAGATGGTACTTTCATTGTAAGAGATGCTTCCATTAAAGGATCAGGAGAATACACACTGACACTTCGGTAAGTTTTGTCACTGGCTGAAACTAGGAATCTACGTCAAAATGAAGAACAAACTAGTCGATTAAGAATTACTCGTAGTTATCAAAAATTATTGAAAAAGGATAGTTAGGATTTTATCTTTTAACCCTAGAATTACAAATGGAAACTGTTTATGCATCAAATTGCTCGTGGGTCCATGACTTTCTTTGTTATGGGGTCTTCAATAACATATAAGTCACACAAAACATGTTAAATGTACTATCAATATTACAATTAATCCAACTATTTACCGCTAGTGTTTATGTCTTTTATGTAGAAAATTAGTAATTTCATCCAATTTAGTTGGTCAGTTCTCTAAAGTGAGAGTTGTTACAGGAAAAAACAAAATTACTCAGTATTATGCAATATGTCCCACTAGTAGCGTATGGTATAAAAGTAAGTCAGTAATTATAGGATTAACACTTTGTTCTCTAGCTGTCTCTGTAACTTCCTGGCAGTTTTTTAATTATCAAACAAAAAATTAACAATGATCTTTAAATAAAGAAAATAGTTTGACATGTAAATTGTCTGCTATTTAATAGTTTACGTTATTTCATTCATTGTTTATTATATATACATGTATACTATTGCCGAACCATTTTGTAATTCAGGTCCTCAAAAAATTTTATGTACATTTTAAGGTATTAAGTGCTTGAAAATTGAATTTTATGTCAATGTCCTTGAAAAATACAAATTTGATCTCTTTAAAAAAAATATAAGTTGTCAGTTTTCATAACAGCAATGTTTTTCAATTGGTACTTTTTCTTTATTCTCTCATCATCTCATTGAACAATTTGAAAACAATATGAACTTTACAATACTCAAGTTCGTAAAGTTGAACCCTGGTGAAACACTATAACTTCACATTTAGATTATGATAAGAAAAGGTCCTGGATATTTGGATGAAGTATTGGAAAAGCACTTTGAAAGTTCTGAAAATTTTCTTTCATAAGGAAATGTAAAACTTATGTACTATACAAAATACTAACTAACTTTTAAAAATATTACCATTAATGTAGTTCATATTCTCAAAACTTGTGTATATTTTTTATTTATTATTATTTTCTTTCTGAGTGTTTTAATACTATAAATCTACACTTGTCTTTGTCTCCTGTGCTGGCTGTGGTTAGTGTGTTGGGCTGCATGTTAGAAGGTCCAAGGTCTGTGATATTCCAATGAAAACATCTTTCAGCTGTGGTTGCCTTCATTCTCTGGTTAGAATTTTTAAATTAAGAATTGATGTGCCTGAATCTTAGGGTTCTTTTGGCTGGCCAGTTATGACATTTGTTTCATAAGATGCCGTTCAGGTTAAAATTACCAACTAACTAATTTTTTCCAAAAGTTTTTTGAAGAAGTGAAACTGTCAGAAGTAACTATAAAAATGCTTGAGTTTGTAGAGAACATGTTTCTTCAGCATTGAAATTTTACTTCTGTTCACAGTATGTTTTTTTTACACTTTCAGAAAAGGAGGAAGTAACAAGTTATTCAAGATATTTCATAAAAATGGAAAATATGGATTTTCTGAGCCTTTGAACTTTACATCTGTTGTTAAATTAATTAATTATCATCGAATTGTCCCAATTTCCCAGCACAAACTAATGTTAGATCTGAAGCTGCTCTATCCAGTTTCTAGGTTCCAACAGGTAAGTCAACATCTTATATTTTCTTGTTGTTTGTGATTTAATGTTTTCAAAAGCTGCAAGACTTTAAAGTTTATTGCTATTTAGGGTAATTAGTAACATTATTGTTTTGTAATGATTAATATTAAATATCTTATGAAAAGCCAATAAACAAAAAGTGACTGCAAGACCAGAACTCAAACCCAAGTCCTCCAATTAACGAGATCGGTGCTCTACCACTTAGCTAACCAAGAACACAAGTCATCTCCATCAGTTTTCACTTATGAAGCCTTTCTGTATTAGTATGATCACCATACTACATTATGATAGATACAGAGATGTATCATAAGATAAACAACAAATTTGGAAAATTGTTTAATGATGTATTATAAAATAATGAAACGTAAAAATCTAATGATATAGCTTTAAAACTTGATTTTACTTTGGATAACATGATTTATTGATTTATTTTATAACTTTAATACTAATATTACATCAGTAACTTTGCTTTTATTTTAAAATGAATTAACTAATGACAATACTCGTTTATCTATGACTACCATTTTTGATGTCTTAATGAGATAAAAGCTTATCAGTTATTTTTCATTTGATCAGGTAGCAATATAGGTCACAGTGTTATGTGTTAGTGGTTCTTCATCCAAAGTAAACAGGAATATTATTAGTGCCCATCATAACAAAAAACGAATTTATTTATAAGCCAAATTATAAGTATTATGTCATAACTAAGAAAACTGTTTTTATTAATGGAAAGTTTATGAATTGCAATCTCTGATGGCATGCTTGTAGATAACTTGCTCTTCAATAATTAAACCTTAAAAAATGTTTTGAAAATAGTACTTAAATTTTAAAATTTTACAAAATCTTTTTACAGTTTTCTCTAACTCTTTTTCCCACATGTGCTAACCAGTAAAACAAATGTGTGCTTATATAATGCATATGAAAGAATGTGAAATTTAATCATGTCAAAATATCAACTTGAGAGTAGAATAAGTTTTCTCATCATTGAAGTCAGAAAAATCCTCCAATGACTTCAGCTCTACAGTTCAGATATTGCCACAGATCAATCAATTTGACAGTTTTTATCTAGTTTTAAAAACACATGAATGACGTATATTAACATGTCAACCACACTACTTCTGCCTTATCCAATGCCAACAAGGTTTTTCAATCAATAGCAGGGCTTATCAGGCCAGATGAGATACAACAGATGTAGTAGTGTAGACACTATATGTGTCACCAATTTATTTGTACAACAACTGTTAGTGTGTGAATCAGAATAAACCAGTGAATTGTAATTATTATAAATTTTATTCAAGTCGCTTATAAATCAGATATTTAGATAATAATAACACAACATTATTTTACACTTATTTGTTTTTAGTTTAGCTTTATTATCATATGGTAAGAAGAAATTACGATCATATTTAGGCATTGAATGCAGGGTTGTTTAAATGCAACATGTACTAACCATGAAATACAAACAAGCACTTGCTCCTATAGTTCACAGTGATAAAGGTTGATAGAGAGGGCCTATTTACAAACTTTTTTTTTCCTATGTATTATTTATAGCTTTATCGAGCAAATGATATATTTAACTTTACCTGTAATTTCCTTGTTAACCAGACTATGAAAACATACATATGTTGTAGTTATTAATCATATATTTTTACTGTTAGAATTTTTGATATGTTGTTAAGGACTAAGATGTTATTTTATCTAAATACTTGTATACAGTATATTATGTTTTTTGCTATCATGAATATTGTTCTTTAAATTTAGATATAAAAAAATTCTTATGTATATCTAACATCTGAGAGTTTAAATATTTTTCATTATACAATGCTTTGCAAAAGTATTCACCTCCCTGCAAAGTTTCCACATTTTGTTGCTGTCTGAGCTTGCAATCATGAAACTTTCAAATGGGACTTTATATTTAGAATCTACACAATCTACTCTGAACTGAGAAAGCTAAAAAAATGCTGATATTATGTCAGTAGATTAGATTTTCAAAGAAAATTAAAACATTCTTAATTGCATAAGTATTCAACCCCTTTGCTATGGCAACCCCAAATCAGTTCAGATGCAAAAGAATAGTTTCAAAGACCACAAAATTAGTGTAATGGTCTCTGTCTGACTGTGTAATCAGAGTGGTTTAACTTGACTTTAGAGTAAATGCATCTGCTCAAGCCACAACTCGCATAGTAATACAACAAACCCACCATGAAGAACAAGGAGCTTTCCAAACAAGTCAGGAATAAAGTGGTAGAGAAGCACAGACCAGGAGAAACTTG